GTCAAAAAATTTAATGGATTTGTTATATGAGGGCATATTAGAGAAAAATGAGAAAGAGAGGTCTCATGGAAATTAAAGAAGAGATAATCCTAGACTTTAAGGATTAGAAAGTAGAGGTTACAGCTGTAGGGAAAGCAGAAAGATGGTTTTGAGACAAATCTTTAATTGCTCAGAATTCCTACGGTTGCCAACCTGTAGGAAAAAGTTAGAGGCAACACCAAACAGAAAGTCAGCTGCTCAGCAGAAGGTCTTTTCTGTTAAATAGTGGGACTCTTCCTTTGCAAAGATGGCAGTGCAAAGAGTGAGACTCTGACCAATCCTGGCAACCTCTTCAAGGATAGGATCATTAACACATTTCTGCTAAGATGGCTCAGAGTTCTACCTTTTCCATCTACCTCTTGGGTCACTGAATTGGAATTGGTCACTACTGCAGTTTAATGCTTCTGAGAAATGTGCATCCAACTGGAATTTAAGGGTGTTCAAGAAGCAAACCATACTCTTTTAAAGAAAAATACAAGAACAGCAAATCTCATTTATATATATAACAAAACTATTGTTCCTTTTCAGTAGATAAAGACATAAAAAGATTAACATAATTTTAAAGGTTGGTTTATTAGATATCATTCCCTAGAAGCACAGACAGAAGTTTCTGAATCCATATCATATGATAACAGTGCAATAAAACTAGAGTTATTCACAAAGTATAATTAGTGCTCATTTAAAAATTAGGAATGTATAAGCAGTACTCTAAATAATTTTTGCATCAGTGAAAAAATTCAATCCTCTAATTATTTGTGCAATTATTAGAACTGACAAGTGGTTTTTTGTAAGGTGACCAATTTCAAACTATAACCTCAGACAAAAACTTCATTCAAACAATAAAATGTATACTTAGTAATATGCAACAAATGAGCAATACCTATAATCATAGCTCCAGGAATGTCTGAGAATGGAAAGCATAACATGTATGGACTGAGTAAGAAATTGGAATGAGTATGAAACCACTCTAGCTATTTGAATAGAAAACTAAATATAAAGATTCTGATGATTTTTCCAGATTAAAATTTAAATTTAATGTAGAATGCTTTCAAATCATAAAGATAATATTTTGGGATTTGAAAAAATCGAGAAGCAATAGTACCAACTAATATGAAATTCTTCACAGCAGCAGCAACAACAAAGCACTAAATAAGTACTGAAATGAAAACAAACTTTAAAGAACAATGTACAATATGTATATGACCAAAGGTTGATATTCATAATATATAGAGTTCCTAAAATTAATAAGAAAAAGGCAACCACCGTACCAGAAGGATGCAAAGTATATAGCAGGAAATTCATAAAATCTTGCCTGCTAGTTTTGAATTGTCCATCTTTGCTATCACTTTTTAATTACTAAATTATCAGTTATAGAAAGGATTAGTAAAAGTGTAGCATTGTTGGCAACGATTCAGGGGCAAAAGACATTCAGTCAATATATGGGAAATTATTCACGGACGTTTCGTTTTTAAAAGAGCACTTAGAAACATGTATCAAAAGTTTCTAAAACATTCAAGCTTTTTGATCCAACAATTCTAATTCTAGGAATTTATCCTAAAGGTGGTCAGAAATATGAACAAAAATGATTTAAAGTGGTTTTTAAATAGTTTTATAATCACAAAACTGAAAATAACTCAGTCTCCCATAGCAGACAATTAGCTAACTAAATATAAGTAAGACTGTGTTGGAATGAAGAATTACTTTTATTTAATGATATGAAGAAATAGAGTTTATTGCTAAACAGATAAAGTAGAAGCAGGATGCAATCTATCATAACAATAAAAATTTCTTTGAAATCCACCAAAGTGTTAATAATTTTCTCTGAATTGCAACACTGTACATGGTTATTTTCTTCTTCATACTTTTGAAAATCATTTTGAGCTTTAGAGAGAGTTCATTATATATTATTTAAAAATGTATTTATTTTATAATAGAAAGCTAACGTAATATGAAAGTATTTTAGAATGTTGAACAGTATTGTAAGGTATCTTCTATAATTTGAGTGAAAAAAAGGTGACTTTCTAAGATACTCTTTCAGTGAGATTATTCCATTTTGCTATTAATGCTGTGAGAACTGACAGCAACCATTGCCTTTAGTGGTCACCTTTATAGACAGGTAAAGGACAGGAGCCTTAAGGGATGAAGAGCTAAATAGAACAAAGTGATATGTCACATTGCTGACACAGGAGTCTCAGCATGCACAGTCTTCTATTACTGTGGGTGGAAAAGAGTCAAGGGTAGACGTTGGCCAAGTTCTTGCTTTTAAGTTTCAGTTTCAGAAGAACATCTGAGAAATAATGTCCAAGTGAGTTCTTTTCTGGTCTCACACCTAGTGTGAGTCCTTAATACTTAGGCCAGAGTCCCACTGTTGCTGAACTGAAATAGGCAATGCCTAACTACACGGGCTCTCATCAACTTCCAAAGCCTGCACTTTCAGGGCCAAACCAGCAGATGTGGGAAGAGGAGATTACAGTCCTGACAGAGATGACAAGTTTTACTCTTGATTGCAACTGAGTTGTAATTTTCAGATTATGCCAGTACTATTCAGCTTCTTAGCATAGTCTTTTGATCCAATAGCTGCTAATTGTTTCATTATTGTTTATGAGGATAATGATTATAATTCATAATTCTCTATATCTGTAGACTACTCAAAATAAACTTTTATCTCTTGTTGGCATAGACGAAATACAGCTTCATGTAATTGCTACTAAGTCAAACTCCCATCCCATCTCCTATCCTACCATCATTGTGGTTTCCATTTCTCAGTTAGCTGAAGAAATTTATATATAAAGAACAAAGACATTCTTATTTAAACTCTGTAAATATACTGTATTAACATTATCACAGTAGATAAAATTATATTTAATTATATGTACTATGTGTATATACTTCCTAAACTAAAAATTGATTTGATAGCAAATCCAGCCATTTTGTAGCTGTCATTAGTTGTTATCTCTAAACTGTAGTATTGTAAGAAAGTTTTCTGGTTTATATATTGGATGAAGGAGGGAAGCTAATGTCCAAATATGTCTAAAGAAAATATATTTGAACTATATGATGCTCCTTTCATTTCTATGTTTGTCTTCTTAAGATTAATATAGTCAAGTCATCATTTTCCCTCTAAGACACATGAAGCAGATATCTCACTATTTGCTTCCAAATACAGAGGGATTCATACACAGTTACCTCTTAGCAATTCACTTTAAAGTCACCAAGAGGTGGCATTCTGTTTCTGCTTTTCTCATTCTAGTCCTTGGACTAACTGAATCAGACTATCCAGGGTGGAAGAAAAATGAAGGACAGAAAATGGGGAAAGAAGAAATCAGGCAGGAAGGAGTTTTAGAAATCGGGTGTTTTCACTCTGGAAGGAAGATCTAGGTCTAGTATTAATGAGTTAGCTTTACTAACCAAAGTGTGGCATGGCAGGAGGTATCAGGAATTTAGAGACACAATGACAAGCAAGGGAGGTACACAGGGGTTTGTCAGAAACCAAAGAGCAACTTACTTGACTTTATAGTTTTGCCTAGAATCATATGACATTGGGTGACAAAACTTACTCATTAAACTTACTCAAAAAAATACTCATTACCGTCCACATCACCTGCCCCAACCATCATCATCATCACCATCATCATCAGAGCCATTATACTAAGTGCATAGGTAATTGCTCATTAGTGGAAGAAAAGCATGTTCTATTACATTATATCATTTGATCTTTCCAAAAACTATTGATTCTCCCTCTCTTTTTGACTGGTAAACTGAGGCTTAGACTTAGGCCAAAGAACACTTGTCTAAGGTGATTCAGTTAGTACAGAATATGGGACTTGAACTTAGGTCTCTGTGATCCTCAGCTACATATAACAGGAATTTGTACAACAGTTTCTACTGCTAAATTTATAGGAATTGTGTAATAGCCTTTTTTTTTTTTTTTGCTTTTGTCCATATGGAGTTGAGTATTGAGGTCAAATCAGTAAAATCAAAAAATGGATGAAATGCTCAGAGTGTAGTTGGCTCTGGTAGATTTAGCAATTTAAAAGAGCAGTGTGATTGGTGTCATAAAAGCCAGAACACATGTTTCTAGAAAGTAAAAGACAACTAAGCTGCTTTTTCAATCATTCATTGCATGTGCGTTTGGCAAACTGTCACTGCTTCTCACTGTTGTCTTTTTTTTATACAAGTATTTCTTTGCATGCATCTTTTTATCTCATGATCTTTTGTGTGTTGGGTTTTCTTTTTGAAATTATAGCTGTTTATGTTTCTATATTTTGAAGTCATAGTTGTTTAATCTTCAAAGATTTTAGAAGCACAGTTGATTTTAATGTGAGTGTATTTAAATTGACTCCACTTGCTTAAATGATGTGAAATAGCTCAGCAATGTTCCCATGACTGTTTTGTACCTTTTGATATTTTGTATGGTCTTCAATCAGTTGGACAGATAATAAGTGAAGCATTGGTACCAGGATGCTACTGCCATTCTGACACTGAGTCTGTTAGCAGCACAGATGAGGGGGAGAAACCCACGAAGATGCCGGAGACTGACACAGGTAGAGGTAAGGACGCATCATTACTGAGGAAAGACCTTCAGAAATGCTCCTCAAAAGACAGCTCAGTTCTATCTTTCGTCTTCCTAACATTTTTTTCTACTGCCACCCTTCTTTACTTCTCATCTCACGAATAAGATAGTAGGAAGTGGCTGAAGGAAATGTTTAAAACTGACATCAGCTACAAATGTTATTAGTCTTTTATGGATACATTAATGCCACAGATAAAAATAAGGGGTATATTTGGATTCTAAAATACTGGTGGAGGTTTTCAGATCAGTCTTATTTCATAGCATTCCTTCCAGTTCTTTGACTAGGTAGATGAATTTGCTTTAATTGAGCCAGGTGGAAACATCAAGCACTAAGGCACCTCACATTTCACAATGGTTGATGTAAGGTCTTACTCCTTTTGTTAATTAGGACATAATTCATTGCCATCAAAATATGAACTGGTCCTTGGTGATGTGTATTTCATCTTCAGGATTTCCAATTAGAGATTGATTCAGCAGACCATGAATCATACACATCTGGTCAAGTTCTAATTAGCCAGCTACACTTTCATGGATGCTGGTAGAAGACTAGATGAACTCCATTCTCCTTGGGCAATATGAAGAGGGACAGATGACACTAAAATAAGTAGTGGACTGAGTTACAAGAAAGATACCTTGCACTTAGTAGTGTACATTCCACTAGAAGAATTCTAGGGTACTTCTCCCAAACTTCGTTTTGCAATGCAGTCATTGTACTTATTATTGAAATCTAATTTAAGCAAGAAAATCCAGTTAATTGTATGCAGTGGGGGAGAGAGTGTGGAAAGAATATTTGTTTTGATTTTCTGTATGCTAGGGACTATACTAACCATTTTACATACGCTATCTCATTTACTATCACAAGAATTTTGTGAGTCGTGTGGCTATTTCCATTTGAAGGCTTAGAAAGACATTATTTCCCATGTTCATAAAACCAGAAAGTAGCAGAGCCGACATTCTACCCAGGTCTGTCTGACCTCCTAGTACACATGCGTTTACTAAATCAAATTGCCTCATTTGTGAATATTACTTTCTTCTATTTCAAAAGTTCATGAGACTACTGTCAAAACAACATATATAATTTTTTATAGTGATCTTTCTCAGAAAGACTTCAATTTCTCTTTGTCCCTTCCTCAGGAATGTCATGCCCCACTTCCCTGTAGTGTGTAGAGCTCAGCAGGATGCGAACAGCACTTTCTCTCCTACAATTTAGACGTAGTATATCATTACATGGTGACTAGGCAATTTTATTTTCCTGTTTTCCTGAATGCTCTTTAATTAATCCATAAATTTAGAAGCCAAGTTAGAAAATGAAGGACTTTATTTAAATGTTTGTCATAAATGACTTTTTAATAATACTTTCATATAGGAATATTAATAGCAACAAATATAATTAAAGAGACTTAACATACATTGTTTTTTAACTGTTTCAATGTAATAAGCTCTAATGAAATAAAATGTACTATATTCTTTTAGGTGAATTGGCTACATGTTTTCTGAGAAAATAGTTTGGTTCTACATTTCCCTTTCTGGAATTTTTAGGCACAATTTAGGAAGTAATTGCTGTGATACATGGAGGACCACCTATAAAAGTCAACCTCAGCCCCACCAATGGACTTGAAATTTTTACTTTTAAACCTGTGAAAAAAGACATCAAAAGTTACCTTCCAAATATGTGTTTTAAGGGAAATGTCATATCAGCTCTTATTGCCTTACCTCAAAATGATTTATTGTAATAGCTGGCAAGAGACTGAGGGAAAGCAACAAAGGTAGTCATGTTTTGTGTTAGGAGAAGTAATGGAATGGGAGCAGTCCTGAATGGTTGGAAGACTAGGGAACTAAGAACAGGGCTTACATCTCTGTAGGTTGTCAGTGAAAGTACTGTGGGTAAGATTGCCAGCCAAGGGTGAGTATAGTGTCACATGCCTGAAATTCCTGCATTTGGAGGGCAGCTTGGGTTATTTACCAAGACCATGTATAAAAAAAATAAGGATTATAGAAAAGTCAGGCAAATTAAAAAAAATGAGGAAGACAGGTGCTTGCTTCATAAATTTACATAATTTAAACTGGTATGATAACTTATTATAGCATCTAGCTCAGTGTCTTTTATAAATGAAAAAGATAAGATACCACAAAATTATTAAGATGAACATTTTTGAAGCTCTTATTTTCCTAAGTAGTATTCTTCAGTTGGAAAATTTTACAGCTTTGGCTATTTTGAATGACATGTGTGACTTGTTTTGCATATATCATTCAAAAATATATATAACTTTGCTGAAGCCTTTAAAAACACAATAAACCCATATTTATTGAAATGTGATAGCTAATACCCTGAGATTTGCTAGGGAATCATGGATGAGAATTTCTAAGTACCTCAGGAACATTATTTTTGTTGAAAATTGTCCCAGATTACAAAATCTTGTCTTGCTCTGTGATCCTATTTTGCCAAAGACATGTTAGTTTCTGAATGTAGATGGCAGGTATCCTGACCTTTAATACAAATTGGTGTCTTTAGTAAAAGTGTTACCTTGAGCTATAAAGATTTTTGATGACTAAATCTAGACATATTAGCTTTAAAGTATAAGAGCAATGTGATATAATTACATCTCTGTGTTCTGATTGCGTTGCTAAATGCCCACTTAAGTAGCAGAAACACAGAAAATGATCATGGTGCTGTAGGGAATAATGGTGATTTAATTTTTAAGAAAATTAAATGCTATTTTTCTTATTGCATTTTTTTTCTGTGAGTCAGTATTTCAAGTGATAGTAGGGTTACGTGTGTGTGTGTGTGAGGAGAGAGAGAATTTATTGATTTTATGTTTCTATGTTTTACATAGAAACATGAGAGTTTTTTTGTTTGCTCATTTTTAATATTCCTGATGTTCAAATTTTTAAAAATATCAAGGTGTTCTTAAGTTTGAAAGCATTTCTATCCATAATGAGAGGCGTTATTATATCATGGTTTATGTTATAATCAATGACATCATAGAACCAACTGAGGAAGTATTTTATAGAAAATAACAATGACCCCATGAGGGCATATAAATATATTACAAATATATTTAAGATATATCTTCTTTATCCACTTTGTTTTCTGACATTATTTTTATAGTACCAAGCAGAAATTTAGTAATGGAGGAAAGGGAAGCAGTCAAGTCAAACAAGGCATCTCAGCAAGTCTCACAAGAAAGGTACACACTGGAAAAGAAGGAAGCAGTGGGGGAAGATGAAGCTCCCCAACCTGAGGATGCTGGTACAGTTGAGGAAAAGAGGGATACAGCACTGCAAGAGAAAGCAGGGCTCACTGAGGATTCCTTAGCAGAGCAGATCTTCACAGCAGAGCAGCCAGCATTAGCAGAACAGTGTAAAGAGCAAAGAGAGCTCCCTCTGGGCACAGCAAGTAGGGCAGAGACAGAAGCAGAAGGGGATGGAAGATCAAGTACAGAGGAGCTAAACGCAGCAAAAGTAGGAGCAAGAGACTCTGTTGGTCTGAGTGAAGATGAGGTTCCTAAAGAGCAGGCCCTGATGCAGGTAGTGCTGGAGACAGAGAAGGCAGCTTCTAAAGGGACATGGGGCTGGAAGAAGTCAGTGCTTATAAACAACTCAGCATTGAGCTCAGAGCTTTTTCCGGAGGCAAGGTCCCTAAGACAGCCAGTGACTCCAGAGATGAGAGAGATGGAGAGAGGGGAGGCTGAGAGTGAGACAGGATCCAAAAAGCCAGATGTGGATGAAATTAAAGAGGACATGGGATCTGTGGAGGATGCAGGATCAGAGAGAGAGAATGGTTCTGAAGAAGCAAAACCAGAAGAGGAACTAGCCCAAAAGAGGAAGAAAGTTCTGGAAACAGAAAGACCCTTGAGTTCCTCTGCAGGAGAGGCAGAAGCATGCCAGATAGAGGCTCCAAAGGGCAGCCCTGAAGAACTTTGTGAGAAAGCTGAGGCAAGGCAGGAGCTTGTGCTTGGGAAAGAATCACATAGGGAAGGTGATAGGAAAGAAATGTTACCTGAGGAATTAAATGTAGAAAGGAGGAAAGCTGAGAGGACTAATACTCCTCTGTGGGAAACTGGATCTGAGAGAGAAGAGGTGACATGGGCAAATGCATGTAAGGATGAAGACACTTTAGAAGAGCAAAAACTTAAAGGGGAAGATGGGGAACCAGTGAAGGAAATAAGACTTGAGGAAGAGACAAAAACCCCTCAAAATGAAACAGTATCAGATGCTGAGGATGCAGAGCCCATAGAGACAACTGAGTTGACTGAAGATAAAGGGCTTCTAGAAGATCTGCTGGAAGAAAGAATGGTTGCCATGTCTGAAGCAACAAGTGAATGTGAAAAGTCACTGGAACAGGTAGCACCTATGAGGGAAGAAGGAGGGGAAAGACTGAATGAAGCCAGTGACACAGAGCACAAAGGCAGGACAGAGCTGCTAGGCCAGGAGAACGTGACTCCCTTGGAGCAGGGGATCGAGCCCCCCCATGATGAAGAAGGTGCATCAAGAGCTTCTGGAAATGAGTCAGCTGGCAAGGCACAGGAACCTGAGGTGACCATCACAGCCACAGGGGAGGATGAGGAGTGTGCGGCCAAGGACTGGAGCCTTGCAAGGCTGGAGCGGGATGAAGGACCTCTGAAGGGACAAGAAGGCATGAGGGTCATGATAATGACCCAGGAAGATATTCCTAAGGGAAATCCCATGATGGCAGGAAAGGTTGGTGAAGAAGCAGTGGATAAGGAGCCAGAGAAGGACAGGGATACAGAGTGTACTCTGGGGACAAGAGTGAGGAAGGACAGCAATACTGAGGGAGACAAAGTTATTGGAGGAGTAGCAGTTGAGACTGAGGAAGATCTGCATCAAGGAGGAGTGGCAGAAGCAGTTGCAGAGCAGAGAGAAGTGTTGGCAGATTCAAAGACAGCTGATAGAAAAACAGTAGCAAATAAAGCCTCCTCCTTTTCAGATGTTGCTGGGGAGAAAACTTGGCACCAAGAGAAAAAGGCACTAGGGAAAACAGCAGCTGTGGAGAGGGTGGTGGCAGAGGAAACAGCACTGAGCAGCAAGGAGGTGCCAGTGGTGGAGGAGGTGACAGTGACATCAGCAGCAGAGACAGGGGTGGGAGCTCTACCAGAAGCTGATGATCTGAAAGGCCAGGCCCCAGAACTAGGACAGGATCAAGAGGGAGAGGTAGTGGAGGCCACTCAGCATGCAGGATCAGTGGGAAAGGAAGCAGAGACAGGGAGCCCTCATAAGAAGCATGAGCCAGGAGGAGCTGAAGAATTCAGACAAGGATCATCACCCAAGTCAGAGCTGAACAGAGAGAGTCTAGAGGCAGTGGCAGCATGCCCTGCAAAGCCTGATTTCTCTGGAATCCAAGAAAAGCAGGAGCATATGGTACAAGGAGAAAGTGAGAATGCAGATATTTCCCTGAATGACTAAGGACTACTACAAGATTCCATGGCAGATGGTGAGTTTAAGTCTGATCTGTGTGCAAGGCAGAATAGAAACCCTGGGGTGGGTCTCCTATCCTTGGTACTGGCTTCTCTCTTTATTGATATCCATTGTGCATACATATGAACTCAGCCATCAACTTTGCATTGCCTAGTCCCAAGCCAGCAACAGAGGGGCCGGGGAAGATGGAGAAGGGGCTTAAGCACACACAGGAACTTACTTGTCAGTTCCCTTTGTGATTCTTAAGTCATACTCTGTCTTGGTAAACACAGCTCCCTGAAGTAGTAAGGTCAAATATAGAGAAGAAGTTTCCACAAGGTACAGAACACCGAAGTAAAGGATGAGGTTCTAGAATTGTTTCCATTTTAGTGTTTTAAAGAATGGGACATAGGTTGTCAGTGATCATTTGTCTTTTAATAGGCATCATGCCTTTATTTCACAATGTTATAATGTTTAATATAAGTACATATGAATTTCACATATATACAATATAACTACATATTTACTTAGAGTATTGGTTTAAATACCAATTGAAGAGTGGAACTTACTTTACTTTATTGCATAAGCTAGTATCTGCTTGATGCCCTCACAGCCTTAGCACCCATTTTCTATTATTTTAAGTGATAATATCTGTAGTATTACTATGCTTTCTATTATTTTTCAGGATATTTAAAAAGTGTCTTCCGGAAGACATAAAGACTGGAGAAAGATTCACACAAGCAGCTCATCAGGACTTTAGATTTTATCTTTTATTTAACCACTGTGCTTGTCCGAGTTGGTTCTCAATCCCTCAGAATCCATCAGTAGCTTGGTAATCAGTGTGAGAAGAGCTCAAGCAGATCTGCCAGCCTTCCCTAGGAGCAGTGCATCCAAACGGAAAACTGTGGGCTCTTATGCATTCTACACTGCTAATATGTCTCTATTTGAATCAGTGTCATGGTTTTCAAATGTTTGACTTTTACCAAATATCACTTAAAGACCAAGTCCTGATGTCTGGGATTTGTTTAAATCCCTTTTTATTTTATAGTCAAATATTAGTCGGAGTTTCATCCATGGGGGATGTATTTAAAATCTATAGCTTGGTACTTTAATGACTTGGACTTTGCAACTCTGACGGTCCTTCCATGTACACTCAACACTAAAGATTGCTCCAAGCTTTTAAATCCTTCAAAAAAAAAATGGATTCCATGGCATGGAAATTCACTTAGACTTGGAATTATTCATTCTCATGCCAGGAGAGTAATTTAAAGTAGAAATGTTATTTCAAAATGGTCTTTGTTTTTGTGTATGTTTTTGAAGTTTTGCTTTCTCAGGTAGACTAGAAAAATGTTAGCTTGCAATATTTTGTCCCTGGGACCTTATGTATTGGGTCACTCAAATTTAAATAAAAGTAATGAATAATTTAGGTAACTCAAATTTAAATAAAAGTAGTGAATAATTTAGGTAAGTGGAATGAGTACAATGATTATAGCAGGTAGACAGAGCCCTTCAGCACATATGCCAACATACTAGACTCTTTAGTTGATGTCATTTAATGGAAAAGAAACTTGGATTAAATTAGCAGCACCTCATCGTCCTGAGTTCTGCTATTTTATACCTGTGAGCTAAGTTTGCAGTCCATGATAAATCAACAGTTATAACCACTTTCTAAATCACCCTCTGCTATTATTTTCAGGTTGAACATTAGCATACCTTCCAGGGATTTTGATTTCTTTGAAGACATCTACATTCCAGTGCCCCAAAGGGCACATGTTTGACTACCTTTTCTCTATGTGAGAAGGTCAGAAGTTTAAAAGTAGCAGTTCTCTAGCCAGACTATACATTAGTCTTTCTTGGGGCACATTTATAAATGACTCAATTGTTTTAGATGAATCTATGCATCAGGGTTTTTGGGTTTTTTTTAACATTTCACTTAAATCTTTTATGTAGCCAAAGTTGACAATCACTGTCTCAAATCCCCATACAATCCATGCTGGCTGCCTTTCACTCTATGTCCCTAGAGACAAGGCATTATATATTTATAGGTGTTTTTTATTTTAATGAATGATTGAGCCATTCAATAATCAAAGATGTACTAGACCAGACATAAGGGCCGGATAATGGATTGGTCCTTTGCTATTGCCTCCTTATTCTCATACCTAAATTCGAAACTGTAGGTGGAGGCTAGAAACTGGTGTTTAAGGAGTCTTCCAGGGAATTCTGGTGCATAACAAGTCTGCAAACTGTTCTCATGGACTATTGGTTGTGTTGAGGATTTGTCTCAGTTGGAAAATGGATTGCAGAACATTGCCATAGTTCTCTCTCTCTCTTTTCTGTGTTCCTTTCTCTTTCCTCTTTTTCCATCTCTCTTGGGGAAACAGTAATCACTATGAAAGTGGTGAATTCAACTTTAAGCTCATTTTTATTATGATTTTATTGACGTGTATATGAATTACCTCTGCCCACTCCCTACTGAAGGATGAATAATACTGCACATATTATCACTTTCATTTATCTTATATTTTATAAGTATATCTCATCTAATTTATGCCAAGTTTTCATTTTAGCTCTGAGCTACATTACTGAGGAGTTGTACAGTATTCGTTACCTGGTTTCAACCTCAATGTTCGAACACTTTGAATTTATAGCACCTTATCAGAAAGTTTGTAAACTTGTTAATCACATTGAAAAATGAATTTTGTACAATGTGCTATATGGAAATTGCATTAGATTATTTTGATATTTAACACATTTCATGAAAATATTCTGCAACAATTCTACAGTTTATGTGTAGGTTTAACTGTGAAATTCAGTGTTGTAATGTTATGATTAAGTGAATTCTTTCTCGCAAATACTACATTGATACAATTATTAATAAATTCAACCAACTGATCTTTTCCTAGCTTCTTCATTATTAAAAACAAATAAATAATTTGTTTACAGATATGACATGTTAATTATTCTTTGTAAATAAGACTAGACTCATAAATTCTTTTGTGTTCTTTCCTTACAAGAATTTGAACTACAAGAGCAGAGAGAAAAGAGAACCAGTTTTGTTGGGCTATACTTTGAATTTATGTGTTTATACTAAGTGTCTACATTCATAAACATCTTTCACATACATGGAATGTCAGAGAGGAAATTATTCCTGCTATTTTATACATAAGTGAACAAAAGCTCAATATAGTTAAGTTACTTGTCAAAAATGATGGTCAATCTCAGGTCATCTAACTCCAAGTGTGATTTTTTTTTTTAATAATATACACTGCTTTTAGGAAGAGATATCTTTGATACTAAGATACTAAATACAAATTTCTACATTTACTTCTAAAAAGGGCAAAAAAACTCATTAATATATGCTAAAATAGTGAGAAAGGAGTTCTATTTCTAGCCAGTGTTAAATGAAAGACAAAAGATTATTTAAATAATTCAAGAGAAAAATACACAAGGAGATAGGAGGAATTAGGGTTCTCCCTTGAGTTTCTCGAGTTAAGCCTTTTCTATGGCTTTATAAACTATTGTGTTGTAAATGTAAAGTATAGTTGAGGTCCTTAATCTTTCTAAATCAATAATTTTGCCACAATTATCACCCTTGGAAAATGATTGTTTGAACAAAAAAGAGAAAACCTTAAGAGAAAGTTCAACTAGTGAGTGAAATATTCCAGTGGGCTTAAGGACGGCCGTGAGGAGGATACTTCTGACCTTGGGTAATATTTCTTTTTAGGCGTCTGTACCACTCAATTGTGTCGTTAAAAAAAAAAATTCTGTTACCATGGTTAGCACAAGAGGTACAAGAGAACAGGAATAAATATAGCTAGAGTTCTTTAAAAGTCACTCTCAAGTTCACCTTTCTTTTTTTCTATTGTTCGTTTTTTTTCTTTCCTTCTAATATCATGTCCAGTGTCATAAAAACTATGCTTCTCAAAATAGCTAGAAACTCACTCAATAAGAGAAAATGCTGGCTAGTTGAAAATGTACTTACCTTTTGTAATTCCTTCCAGAAGTCTCAGACTGTTTAGTCACCATGCAACCCTAACAATATTTAAGAACACTGCAAATCAACATTTTATTAGGGAAAATGAGGTACATAAAAGATTCATGGGGCTGATAAGTCGGTGGAAAAGTCTGCCTCCTCTGCAAATGTTTCTTGGTCTTTATTATACACTTATTTATAACTAAAGAATATATTAAGGACTCAAAGTATGGGAGAAATCTCACTGTTTTTCAGGAGCTTGACTACTAATGTGACACAGGGACATTTAAACTGGTGTGAGGATCCCAGAGAGGGAAGATGAAACTTTTCATGGATTTACCGGCAATGCTACTTTGCAGCTTCCCAACCTCCAAAAGCATTTTGTCATAAAAGGGACTTCATAACTAACCTGTAATCAAGGTCTTCCTTGTTGTCAGTCCCCCACCCTCTCTCCATCTATTTTCCAACTTTACTGTGGTTCAATGACCCTAAAATGACACAAATGAGACGAAGGAAGACTTTGAAATATGATGTAGGGGTTGCAAAGCCAAGAGGTGTCCAGTTCTTTGTTTTCAACAAAACTAAATGAGAATTGAATTTTCAGCTGATAAGCCATTAAAATATTTTTGGTATTTTATTGTTCTGTGAATTTTAGTGAATTTCTCACAAAGAGTTCAAAGAAGAGCACTGATTTACAACATAGCAAACTATTCCCATTCCCATCCACTCTTATGCAGGAACAGTATATTTCCACATCTATGAACACAAAAAAACATAAAGCGGATGTTGAACACTGTCATTCTAGCAGTAAATTATATTTATTCACAGTTACACAAACTAAAAATAGAAATCACTATCTTCAGGGGTACTTTTTTATTTTTATGTGTAATGCTTATCAAAATTTATAATGTATGTATATTGTCTTGATCAAATGTATATTGCTAATAACTCCAATGATAGCTCACTCCAGAAGAAATTAAATACGTTAAGCCTTATAGTCATAGGAAATTTTTAAAATTAAATCTTAATTTATAAAATTAGGGGCAGAGAATTAGAACAGGATGAGCAATAAAAGATCTATAGTAGCATAAAAATCTGTGGGTGAAGTGGAATGGAACTATAATTTTAAGAAAGAAATAACATGAGATTTTTCTGATGCTAAAGAAGAGCTTAGTCATGTACTTTTGAAAATGGATGTCTAAGAAATGCCATGGAACAGAGAGTGGACTGCAGAAGGTTTACTGGGGCATACCTTGGGAACAACACTGTGGGGGAGTCAGGAGCAGAAAGTGGCTGAAGAAGAGATAAACTGTGGTGTAGCTAACAGAGAGGATGAAGCCCACCCATGGGAGTTCCAGGGCTGGGATGGAAGTGAGGGACCTGGACACTAAGTCCCCACAAGAGACCAATCTCTAGATGATGTCTGCCTCCTCAAGAGGGAGCACAGTCTCGGGCTAGGTGTTCCCTTCAGTCAAAAACAGCTCCTATGGAGAAACTAAGATGATGTACCCCATGCTAGGCAGCTGGGGAATGAATGTATCCATTGTGAAGGGGATATCAAGGTGGCATCCCACAGCACTCACTGTGAAGATGGAGGTCATATCAACTTATTATGGCATTTTAAGTCCAGAGGACACACGTAGAAAAAAGATGTAACCATTTTGTCTTAAAATGTCCTATTTTATACAGGCTAAAAATTAATCTGTGATTACTATTTAAACTTTTGAACAGTTTTAGATGTCAATGAAAAATGTGTGAGGGAGTACTGACAGTTTTTCATAACTCTTTCAGAGATAAGTGAACAAAAATAAAGAG